ACACACACACACACACACAGAACCTTGATCTTCAAACTTTCCTTCAACTTAATTATGGGGTCCACTCTTCCTCACTGTCAGTCTCAAGCTCACCATCCTCGCTAAATGAGCCTAACTGTATGATCAAGTTTCCTGCGCTCATAAAATGTGTTTGCATCCATTTTCTGTGAGTACTAATGAATAATACAGCAAAAAATAGATAAATAAATAAATAAAAAAGATTAGGTAGATAATTATGTTTTTCTGCTAAACTACACCCTTTTACATAAAAGTAAAAAAATATATTTCACCAATCAAATACATTTCTGCACATATTTCTGCACATCACAGACATTTTTTGTACAAAATGATTTAAATGTAAACATGCTAAAAAGTTACATTTGTATCAATTTCTGATAGCAGTGTGTCCAAGCAAGCCATGGTCCCACTATAGGTGGTTCCAACCCCAGACAAAATGTCACATGCTCTCCAAACTCAAATTACATTGGTTAAAAACTTGTCATCAGACTTTTAATGGGATTTTTTAACTTTAAAAGCATTTAAAGAGGTTCTGTGAGAGCCAAAATAGTTTGTTGTCTGAGGGCAACACCATGCCATTGAGGGTTAACCTGATTTGTTGCAGTCTAAATATAAATTGACCTGCCTCCTCTGATCACACCACCGTCTCCACCCTACTGCCTCCAGTTTGGATCAGTTTGTCATAATTTAATAAAGTTGGTGTACTTCAGCCTACAGTCAACGTCTCTGGGTTCAGACTTACAAGCAGACAGTTCTTTCGGTACTTCTTTTACTCATATTTTATTTTTTTAAGAATTTTTTCAAAAGAAGATTTTGGTAAATATGTCTTGTTTTCCTCCTTTGAATTTAAGTTAGTTTTTAACCATTTTACTGTGTTTTATTGTTTTGGCTTGTTTTGACATTTTATCAGGTTTTTAAAGCCACTAGAGCAAAATTGGAAAGGTTTTGCTTTGCCTATTATCAGTTCTGACTGATGGCGTTTTGAGTACTGACCCCAAACTGAAGTAACTTAGTGGAACAACCTGAAAACAGTGGTATGACATCAGACACATAGACTGTTTGATGGTTATAAAGTGATTTGAAAGGGTTTACAGTGTGTTTGGTTTACATGAGACTAATGGTTCCTGAGGGAACGGAGGTGACTTATAGAGGATGTTTGGTGATATTTTGTATAGACGCATTTACTGGTTTTGCAAAAGTAACTGGAAAAATTCTGAAGCAATTTTGAAACGTGTCAATGTGGCCTCTGCTTAGTTCTAAAATTATTCATATTAACCCTCCTGTTTGGGTCAAAATGACCAAGAGCAGCAGGAGGTTGAGCTAAACCTTTATGGGGTAGTAGCTGAGAGTTATCATTGACTCTTGTAATATTGCACGAGAAGTTTACATCCTTTATAGGTTTTGAAAAAACAGCAATAATAGTTGTTTCTAATCATAAGATGATCTTAGTCTTAAATCCTGGTATGGACTGGGACATAATTATGCTTAATGTTATTAGTTAATGACATTAATTTATTGACAGTGTTTTTTTTTTCAGATCAGTGGATTTGAGAGAGATATCTGAGTCAAAATGTCTGAGCGCTACGACTGCAGGCAGTGTGAGGACTCTCTGTTCGGGCAGAAGTACATCCTGCGGGAGGAACATCCGTACTGCATAAGGTGCTACGAGACACTTTTCTCCAGCACCTGTGAATTGTGCAACAAGCTCATTAGTTGCACCAGCAAGGTGATTCACTCACATTCAGACAAAGTTATTGGATATCTTCCTGTGGACTATGACTTATACCGGTTTCTTTTTCTTGTTCAAGTGATGTACAATTAAGCTTGAGAAATTGCATTTTCTGCTAAAATCCAGTGTGACAGTTTGGAGTGCTGAATGACCGATGAAGACGCTGAACACAAGCTAAAAGCTAAAAGGAGCAAAACCAATAATGTACTAGGTCACTGTGCAATGCTGTTTAAAAACCAAAGGTAGCAAAATGCCAGATAAAATGTAAAAGTAGCAAAATACTATTTGAAAACCAAAACAGCAAAATGATTTATAAAAATGGCAAAAGTTGATCTAAAAGCTAAAAATGTCAAAAGGCTACCTAAATGCAGCTAAATGTTATCCACTAGGTAGCAATGCTAAAGTGGCAAAAGATTAATTAAAAGGTAAAAGTATTAAAAGGCCAGCTTAAAGTAGCTAGATACTAGCTAAAATCTAAAATGGCAAAAGAAAAAGCTAATCAAAAGTTGCAAAAAAAGTAGGTAAAAGCTATGATGGCAAAATGCTAGCTAAGCACAAAAAGTATCAAAAAGATAGCAAAAAATATTCAATACCTAACTCAAAGTTAACAGTTGTGAAATGTTCTATTTAAGTAGCAAAAACATCTAAAAGACAAAAATAGCAAATGTTGGATAAACATAGAAACCCCTATCTTATAGCTATAAGTTTTAAAAAGTTAACAGTTAAAAGTAAAAAGTAGCAAGTCACAAGCTACAATCTAAAATAGCAACAGGATAGCTAAAAGCTAAATTTAGCAAAAATCTAGAAAGTAGACATACTATCTAAAATCTTCAAAAGTAAATGAATAGGTAAAAGTAAAAGAGAAAAAGCTAAAAGGCCAAAGGGCTAGCTAAAAACTCTAAATAATGAAAGATGACAAATATAGAGCAGTTTGCATATTTTAAAGTAGCATTCACACACAATCTTTTATTGCAAAGACTAACTAGTCTTAAAAATTGTGATTAAAAAGCTACTTTTCAAAACATTTCAAACAACAATGATAGCTTATAAAAACTAAAATAACAGATTAACATGCATTGTTATTGGTGATATTCTTGGTCTCTTCAGGATTTGTCCTACAAGGACCGCCACTGGCACAGCGAGTGTTTCCTCTGCAACAAGTGCAGCCGATCACTCATCGATCAACCATTTGCCACCAAGAACGACCTGCCCATGTGCACAGACTGCTACTGCATGGAGTACTCTGCTAAGTGCCACGCGTGCCTGAAGACCATCATGCCAGGTGAGAGAACCACGTGGTTGTGATCATTTATTTATTTTTTAAAGATCTGGTTCTAATGCCACTGTTGTTAATAATGATTGATTTTGATCAGTTTAGAAATCTGCCACATACAGTATGCAGCACCACCTCATGGTGCACTGACATGGAGGGAAAATTTACAGAACAATTTTCTGCTTCCTTCTTCCTCCAGGCACCAAGAAGATGGAGCACAAAGGCCACAGCTGGCATGAGAAATGTTTCATCTGCAGCGGCTGTCAGCAGCCCATCGGCACCAAGAGCTTCGTGAAGAAGGACAGCAACAACTACTGCCTGTCCTGCTACGAGAAGCTGTTCGCTCTGCATTGTGTTCACTGCAAGACGGTAAGAGAAAGACACAAAAAGAAACACATACACCGACATTATCACTCCTAACAAACGGAATTTATTAAATGTACCTGAAATTCTCTGAAAATGCTAGATGTTTTATTTTTGAAACTTCCATTTGTGCTGAGTATGTCTGGTGAAATTAGATAAAAATGTAATAATGCTTTCACAAGATCATTTTTGCAGTCATTTCTAGGCAGAGACTGTTGATTGTTTACATGGATAAGTCTGAATTTGTTGATTTTCATTTTAAAATAGGAATGAATGACGTTCAGTTGGTAGAGCTGTAGCCTTTCAGGAAGAAGGTTGCTGGATCAAATCCTGGGTGGGGACATTTCTGGGTAGAGTTTGCATCCATGCATCCGTGGGTTTTCTCCAGGCACCCAAGTTTAAAAAGACATGGATCGTCAAAACTGTCTGTGTGGCCCCAAGATAATCATGCATTAACAGTTTTGTGCCCATAAAATTACTATCTTGTGGCCATGCATTACAATTTTGTGGCCATGCAGTAACTATCTTGTGGCCATGCATTACTATCTTGTGTCCATGCATTAACTATCTTGTGTCCATGCAGTAACTATCTTGTGGCCATGCATTAACTATCTTGTGTCCATGCATTAACTATCTTGTGTCCATGCAGTAACTATCTTGTGGCCATGCATTGACTATCTTGTGTCCATG